TCAGATGGAATGCAAACACATTGTGTAAAGAAATATGTGAGAATAAGGCACTTTTTTTGAGACACATGACACGGAATTTTCTTTTTACCTCTCAGAAAACCTCTATAACAACCACCACAATTTAGTAGTAAATTTTGAAGTAGTGCTTCCAGCTACATCTGCCCTTTACATGCAGTGCCTTGAACAGGGTGGGATAGGACAGCCCACATGCTCAGCACTTCAACATGCCTGTCCCACGGGCCTGCTCAGTGCTGGCTGTGCTACCTGCCTTAAACTGTGCAGGGCAGGGCAACCTTGCACTGGCCAAAGCACCCACCTCAGCATCAGAGTTGCATCTTCCCCCTAGCTGCTCTATTAAAGCTGAGCTAAAATGTATTTCTACTTTATAGATTTTTCTCAATGAATTTTCCCATACAGGCACTAACTTCTTTTTACAGAATTTTGTGATGATACTCAAATTCATCCTAAGGAGTGTTTATTCTGTTTGCTCAAATGAAGCCCGACTGTTTCCCCTGGGAGCTTTCTGCAAGTTTCTCCCTGGGATGAAATTAACTATTTTTACATGAAAACATAATTAATTTAAAGTTCAATGGCCTTTACAATCAAAATTTGGATTAAAAGATCAATAAAGATTTTCAACACTCAAGATAGGAACAAGTTTAAGACTTACAGGCAGGTCTTATTGACTGAGGGGCTTTTCATTTTCTGGTAAAAGAAAATCCTGCTTCCAGGCTGTTCCATACTTTATTGTGACTGAGATGCTGTAGTCTTCTGTTAGCAACAGAAACAGTCCCTTACTCATATATCCTGTGATGAGAAGATGATTTTTTTTTTTTCTCAGCCATCTGTGTGCAATACTGCTTCTTTAAATTTTCTCCTTTCATATCCCCTTGCATTCAAAACTTTCAGTAAGATTATTATTTCTTCTTGACTGTCTGTCCTGGAATGTTATTAATTTAACAGTTTGATTCTGAACATCTTCAGTTCCCAGTGATCAAAGTTTCAAAGAGTTGGGTCAAAGCTGCATCAGAACTTTTAACTGTGAAGTGCTTTGGGACCTTCCAGAATAAGAGCAGATGGACCATGCCTGGTAGTATCAGATCCTGCATGTCCTTGCCTCATGTAAAACCACTAAACTTATAACAGAAAAGTACTTTTTCTTCCTACTTTTTTCTTGAACTGTTAAACTGACCTTGTTGCTCAACATCAGTGTTTGGCAAATAGGAGGTCAAATAATTTTTCAAGAGTTTCATTTCACCTCTGAAAGGATGTGACAAAAAACTAGGCATATATTGATCCAATATTCTCTCAGATACCTGGGAAATTTAGGAAAGACACAGTGGATCCCAAGACTGGAAACACAGCCCACAGAAGCACTCTGTGAATCTTGTTGAGAAGTTCCTAAGCTATACATTTTAATTGAAAATTACATCCCAATTTTCAGGTTCAAGGACAGTGGCTTCTCTGGAGATAGTCTGGGCATGTCATGCTTTGATCCCTCAGTAAGTTCAGAGGAAAGGCGATAAAAGGCAAAGAAAGCATTTTATTCAATAGCCAAGTCTACCTTATTCCCATTGTATTTCAGAGTCTACTCGACTCCATTTCAAAGTGGAAGAAAGGAGATACTGCTTAAAAGTGCGTAGACTCTGATTTAATACTGGAACAGACTCATGCACCTATCATGAGAGATATATAAATGCAAAGCTTACAATAGTGCACACAGTGCACTGTAATGTGGTCTATGTTCAGGTATAAATATAATAGATTTTTTTAAAAATAAAAATGAGGAGAAATATACAGATACTCCGTATTCCAAAATTCTAAATTTTGATCATTGCTTGTTTTTTTATGATCAAGCCAATATCCAGCAAAATTAGATTTAGTGTCCTTGCTTCTTATGAAATTACACAGAGGCTGCTGCTTTATTCCTCTCCAGGACAGTAAAAAGCAATAAAATTCTTGCAGATTTCGACAGCAGGCAATTCAATAAAAGGCTATGTATATTTTATAAGTACAATAAAAACAAGCCTATAGCTGGATCATAAATGGAGGTTTGTTTGGCTGGTTTGTTTTCTGCACGCATCAATGTTGGGGTCTCTTTTCAACACAGGATGGTCTTCTCAGCACACAGCCGTCCCTTTTTGGGGAGAAGCAGAATGAAATTTATATTTTTATAATGTATTATTTAAGCTTTGCTCAAGGGACTTTGCAATGTGTGTCTGTTTAAAATTTAAAGGTGTTGTGGAACTGAATACTTTCCTGTTCTTGATGAGTGCTATAAAATTTTACAATTCTTTTTCTTACATTTTAAAGTGTATCTGTCTTATCATTGTGGCATTGCCTTTTTTATGAGCAAAGAATAAATATTTGATACACACATCATTATTTCCTAGGCTTCCATTAATGCTCACTGATTTTTTAATTCTTCAATAATATAATGGGGAGATCAATAGATGGTTGTATTTCTGAGCAGTAGTGCTACAATGCATTTAGAGACAGTGTCTGTCTGTTGAAATATAAAATTTTATACAAATATAAAACCAAAACTAACAACATGCAAATGACCCATCCTACATAATTACAGCTGTATCAATTTTTTCTTCTCACTTAGATAAAGAAATTTTAAAACTCTGAAGAAGCCCATTAAAGAAAAAATACCCTTCCTATTTGTCTCTGAGACAAGTTCTCCAGCACTGAAAATCAGCAAAAGGTTCATCTGAGCAGGGTCTGTAGCATTGAGGCTCAAGTCTTCTGGAGAAGGAAACTTTTCTGTATAACTATACAGAATCCACAAGTACTGGTTTGCCCTTCTGAGTAGTTTGGTAGTTAAAATCTGACTCGTACGGCAAAGTATAACCAGTGTCATCTTACTAGACGTACCAAGAATACAAACTTTCAGAATACATGAACATTATAGGACAGACCTAAAGACATTTTTTTCACCATCAGAGTGAAGCTAAAGAGCTGTTATCCTCAAAATTGTAGAATTTTATCATGCAAGAATTATAGAGACCTTTTGTTAAAGAAGACAAGGTGATGCAGACTATCTCCATCTCAAAATCCAAACAAGTATGCTTTGGAGAGGCACCTGTGTCAGCCTATCAAATCTCAAGAAAAAAATTCCCTTTCAGTTCACTTATTAGAACACTGTATTTCTTGCTATAACAGAAAAGGTATAAAACCCACTGCCTTAAAAATAAATTATTTAAATTAATCACAGCAGGGAATACAGAGGAGTTAAAAAACATGTTATAATAAGAAAAGCATTCAAGGGAGAAAAAATATAGTCTCTAAGCTTAGCTGAATGATCATTCATTAATTTGACCCAAACTTCCATAACCTCAGGAAAAAGTAAAGCATACAAACATCAGCTAATGCTGTTTCCATTTGCTTCCTTTGTAAAACATAAATTTTGATTTAACAAACTAGCCTTGACCCTGCAGCCCTGCTCCTGCAGTCAGTGTTATCACAGGAAGACTCCAGAACTGATTACATGAAGGGAACCCAAAGTGTTTTTCATGCCACACTCATGTTTAATGCTTTGGTTTGCTGTGTGCTATTTCATCTCTCAAAACTTCCTTGCCCTACTGCTTATCATTCTTATGTAGTGGTTTATTTGGTCATGTATTCTCATAATGCCTGTAAGAGACAACTACATAATTGTGTTATGTTAAACATCTTCCCGCTTTTCTCATTTCTGTATTACAATTGTTATTAGAATTCCAGTCCTATTAATGTAGGAAGCATATGTACTTAATATGTGAATGCACACTACCAGAGTAGAAAATACACCAAATTCTGTTCAGATATAGTACTTGCTAAAGTGGGGATGGCTTCTGTCTAGGAGAACTCCTTAAGCTCCCATGAAACAGCTTGCTCTCCTTCCTACCCCAGGGTTTTAGCACATTCTCTTGCTCCAGTTCAGCCACAAGAAACCTCTATGGCTTTCACTCAAGTGAGATTTTCAGGGGCACGAGCTGAGAGCTGGGACGGCTCTGCCCCACAGAACCTCTTGCTCCGGTTCTGAGAGCTTTGCCGAGGCTGCTGCCACTGCCCAGGTGTGCTCGGGGCTCTGCCCAGGTGTGCGCGGGGCTCTGCCCAGGTGTGCGCGGGGCCGCTGCCCAGATGTGCTCGGGGCTCTGCCCAGGTGTGCGCGGGGCTCTGCCCATGTGTGCGCGGGGCCGCTGCCCAGATGTGCTCGGGGCTCTGCCCAGGTGTGCGCGGGGCTCTGCCCAGGTGTGCGCGGAGCCGGTGCACACGGAGCCAGCCCGGGCTGCATCGACGGCTGCCAACCAACCGGGAAGGACGATCCAGCTGAAGTCTTTGTGATGCATTTAAAAACTGAGATATTGTCGTCCGTTTTTTAAACAAATATTAAAGATGAAGCCTAATTAATACTAATTTTTTATCAGTTTATTTGGGACATTTTCCCGCAGAAAGGGGCGGATTTCGGGCCCGGCAGGCAGGGCCGGCCTCTCTGGGGAGCGGCGCCCTCTGCGGGCCGCAGCGGGGCAGGACCGAGCCCGAGCGGTGCAAGGGTTCCGACACGGGTGTGTTGGCTGCGTGCCCGTTGGAACGGCTTGGCGGTGGGACAAATCCCGCCCCCCAGCACACCAGGGATCTGTGCGGAACACGCGGGCCGCGCCAGCGCCCGGCGAGGACGGCGGGCTTCACTTGTACTGTCTGTGGTCCCGTCCCGGCAGTGCTCACAGCAGCGCTGAGAGTTTTGCCCTGGGGAGCAGCTGCGGCACAAAGGGACAGGACGGGACAGCACAGCTCGGCCCAGGGAGTTTTGGGGTGCGAAACATTCCTACTGAGCGCTCCGGTCAAATCCATCCGCTCCCAAACGGAGCCAGCAGGGGGCGCCGCCACCGCTCCGGATAAGAGCCCCTGCGGGTGGGGAGCGGGAGGGCTGGGCGAGCGTCACGTGACCGGGACGCGGAAGTGCCTGCCGGAAGGGGGGCAGCTGCTTCCGGTGCGGGCCGGGGTGGGCGCGGGTAGGGCCGGGCCGGGCCGGGGCCGCACCGACGGCGCCCGCTATGAGAGAGACGCCGCGACCCGCAGGTGAGACGCTGCTGCTCGTGGACCCCGGGCGGCCGTGCTGCCGCTGGCCCCGGTCCGCGGGTCCGCGCTGGGGCGGGGCGGCGCGGCGCGCGAGGCCTTCCCGCGGCCCGCGGCCGCAGGTCCCGTGCTCTCTCGGGCCGGGCCGGTGTCCCCGGTGCGACCGGGACCGGGATCCGCTCCTGCCGGAGCCTACTGGCGGGTCCGCGCGCCGCGGGAGGCGCTGCGGCCTGTCTGGTCCCGCGGCCGGAGCGGCTCCCCCGGGCCCCGCCGGCGCGGCCGCGGCAGCATCGCGGGGGCGCTGGGAGGGTGAGAGATCAAGGTCTGCGGGCCTGCGCCTGGAGAGGGCAAGGAGCTCCCTGATGGCGCTTGTTAGGACTAATGGTATCCTAAAGCAAATTAAATGTGACTTGTATGTTCTACTCAATGCTCCAACATGGAGATTGTTTTTTAAATTGTTATTAATTGAAGTAGGAAGACTTTGTTCTGTATGAGTTTGGAGTAAAACTGCAAAACAAAACAGATTGTAGAAGGAGGGAGTGAAACTCCTTTTGAAAACCAGTTTGCTTGACTTGTATGGCTTTTCTGATTGAAAATATTTCGCTTACATTTTGTCTGCATGACAACTTAAAATACAAAAATCTGCTATCATCTGAAAATGTTTTTGTGGTCACATGCTGACTCCCTGCTGAATGATGGCAGTTTTGATTATCAGTAGTGGTATATGAATTCTGCAGGCATCTGTTTTTAAACTTAAGTTGAACATTTTCTGAAGGCTTATTTTTTTATAGGCAAATATTGAAAAATAGAATCTTAAATCTGAGAATATTCTGAAGGGGGGTAAGAAACTCCATCCATATAAGAAAATCTGATTTTTTTCAAAAAATGGATGTAATATACACAAGGTATAAGATAATTTACGCATTATCAAATAGAGAAATTGCACAAGTTTAACTTACTCAAGCAGTTAATGTTGGTTTTTCATAGCGGCATTTAAACTTTTGCCATTCCAAATTACAATAAAGTGCAAATTTATCTCAAATTCAATTTAAATTTCAAGTATGCATTTGAAAAAGTTGTATTACTGCTAAAAGGGCTGTTAATCTTTTTGTAAGACATCTGGGTTATGTGAGAATACACATGTGAAAATCTGGGAGCTCTTAGCTGAGATTTTGTCATGTAATTATTATGTTGTTACAAATACACAAGGAACAAGCAGGAAAAGTTCTGTGTGGCAAAGGTATCAATTTCTTGATTGACCTTTTAAATTCTGTATGATTTCTCTAAAAGAAACATTATAATCCTACCCCTAACCTGAATATCTCAATAAGCTTGGAATTAAAAACTGTAGAAGCTGTTGCTGTTCCACCTTTCAGTTAGTGAAACAATGGGGAAATACATGAGAAGGGTCATAAACCTTACTCTTAGTGAGGTTCTGCCCGTGCTTCCAGTGTCATCCTGTGAGTTGATACGGTTGCTTTTGAAAAATTAATCTTAAGTGAAATATTTCATGAGTAAAATCAGTGTTTGTTGGGTGACAAATGAGATGATTTTGTTGGCATTTGAAATATAAAATCTTTCATATGCTGGTACAAACTGTGAGACATCCTGGAGTTAGAACTCTGCTGTATAATTTCATGAAATAATGGTTTCATTAGCCTAAACTCATGTTTGAAATGCTTAGTCTATCCCAACTAGATAGTTTGCTGTTTGTAGCTCCTGCTGTAGTTGGTGAGTCCTCTTGAAGAGGAGAAACAGAGCCAAATATTTTAGCATAGCAATTTATGGCCTTAGTACAGCTTTCAGAAGAGAGAAGTGAGATGACTTGAGAGAATAAAACAGTGGTGAAAGGTTGAATTCCATGTGAGTCTGTTAAGAAAAAAGAATAAAAATGTAGAAGAAAATGGAAAGGTCAATACTTGACCAAGGAGAATTTCTAATTTTATTTCTTATTTTTATTTTATATTTTCTTCTTACAGCACAACACTAAATTTGTAATGAAATGGAGTCTGGGTCAAGCTCCTTTCGAGTGGAATTTCCAGATTTTTCTAGCACCATTTTGCAGAAGTTAAACCAACAGCGCCAGCAAGGACAATTATGTGATGTGTCCATTGTGGTTCAGGGCCATCTCTTCAGAGCCCATAAAGCTGTTCTTGCAGCTAGTTCACCTTATTTCTGTGATCAGGTTCTCCTGAAAAACAGCAGGCGAATAGTCCTGCCTGATGTGATGAATCCCAGAGTATTTGAAAACATTCTTCTGTCTACCTATACAGGCCGGCTGGTAATGCCTGCACCAGAAATTGTTAGTTATCTGACAGCAGCAAGTTTCCTTCAGATGTGGCATGTAGTGGATAAGTGCACAGAAGTGCTTGAGGGAAACCCAACAGTTCTGTGTCAGAAGATGAATCATGGCAGTGACCATCAGTCCCCAAGCAGTAGTAGCTACAATGGCCTCGTTGAAACCTTTGAACTTGGCTCTGGAGGACAGACAGAATTCCATAAAGTGCAGGAACTAAGAGACGGTGAAAACGAAGAAGAGAGCTCTAAAGATGAACTGTCATGTCAGCTGACAGAACATGAGTACCTTCCCAGTAATTCTTCAACAGAACATGATAGACTTAGCACTGGAATGACCAGTCAGGATGGGGAAGAGGGAACTAGTGATAGTGCAGAGTACCAGTATAGCAGACCAATGTATAGCAAACCCAGTATCATGTCTCACAAGCGGTGGATCCATGTGAAACCAGAAAGGTTTGAACAAGACTGTGAAGGCGTTGATAACCCTTATGATGAACACCAAGTTTCTGAATCCATGAATACCATCCAGGCAGATCACTCAATCCAGTCTTCAGGTGTTGAGGATTTTCACATAGCTGACAAAAAGATGGAAGCAGAATTTGATGAACAGGCAGATGAAAGTAATTATGATGAACAAGTTGACTTCTATGGCTCATCTATGGAAGAATTTTCCGGTGAAAGGGCAGATGGAAATTTAAGTGCTCACAGACAGGATCTTATGATGGCAGCAGGCTATGGTGAAAGCATTGATATGGCTGCTGGGATTAAAGAAGAAACGTCTCTCACTGGATTCTCCCACGCTGATAAGCTCTATCCTTGTCAGTGTGGAAAAAGCTTTACACACAAAAGTCAGAGAGATCGGCATATGAGTATGCACCTTGGTCTTCGACCTTATGGCTGTGGTGTCTGTGGTAAGAAATTCAAAATGAAACACCATCTTGTAGGCCATATGAAAATTCATACAGGCATAAAACCCTATGAGTGTAACATCTGTGGGAAAAGATTTATGTGGCGGGACAGTTTTCATCGGCATGTGACCTCTTGTACCAAGTCCTATCAGGCTTCTAAAGCTGAGCAGAGTACTACTGAGATGAACTAAGACATTAGTGCTTACATTTGTTTAGTAGAGTAAGAAAAATAAACTAATTATGCAAATAATGTCTGGTACTTGCTATTGTATGTTCTCAAAACAAAAGTTTTAATAAGTATGCTGGTATAAACAGATGAAATGTATTTTGCTTCCTGCAATATTACTTCAGGTGTTTATTGTGGGAAGTGTATGTGGTTAATTGAAATGTGCCTGCAAAATGAGGTCTGAGATGGATTGTAATCACAGCAGTATTTAGAAGCCATCTTGTATTTCCAAGACCTCTAAATTCACAGTAAAACTCAGCTCTAAATTTACAAAAATCCTGGAAATACTTAGATGAACAAGAAATTCAGGTAGTACTCCTTAATGGAAAAGAAAACTAAGATGACCAAACTGGCTAACATGATTCACATTTAAATGAAGAAAAAATGAAGAGAATTCCACCTCAAGCTGAAGAAGCATCATTAGGTAGTGTGCATCATTCAGTAGCCTTTGTTGTATTGCTTTATGAAAGGCAGTGGTAAAGGTGGTTTAGATTTCAGTTATACATCTTCTTTTTTTTAAATTTATCTTCAGTAAAATAAGTGTCTAATTTTGTGCTGATTTCTGTTTAGAGTCTGTAATGCACTTAGAGATTTCACTACATAAACTTAATGTATACTGAAGTATACTTTCTATTTGCTCTTCTAGGGTCTAATGCTGTACTTGACTTCATTAGATTTTAATTACTATGTTGTGAGAGCTTCTAGAAGTGTGTGTAATAAGTATGTCTTATTAAAAAATAAGACACCAACTAAAGTAAAATGTAACATTTGGAACTTAGTCAAAATAATCAAATATTTAAAGTGTAAATTTCTGTTCAAAATTTGTGGCTTACTACAGTAGCAAGTACCAAACTCTGGATTCATAAACTGACTTGTTATTGGTACAAAAACTTCTGTGAGAACTTTTATCTAGTTTTAGAAACTTGCTTTAGGAAAATTACATAGTCATTGATAGGTATTTATACTTTTAATTCTTTACTGTTTGAATAGTATATAATACTGATACTTGGTACTGAACTACTGTGACTGATGATCACAAGCAGAGTTGTTTGCTTCCTCAAAGTTGCTTGTGGAAAAAAGTAGGAAGTATGTGATTTGGATCTTCTAATGGTACTGCAGAACATGGTACCATGCTTGTGTCTGAAGCTGGTATTTTTGGTGGGAGTGACACTGTTCTATGTTAAGATGAGGATCTGTGTGTGGGGCTCTCATTCATGGAGATAGATGGAGGAATGTGTATAGTTCTAAGGGATGCTGCCAGCTCTGCAGATTGAGTAAAGGCATCAGTTGAAAAGGTGACAACAGGATTTTGGGGTTGAAAGCTTAATGCAGTCCAATGCAAAAGCAATTGCTTCTTGGTAAGCAAAAGCTTCTTTGTAGCTTACTGAAATATGACAAGGAAAGAACATACATAGAATACAATAGGAAGAGGTGATAACCAAGTACAGTGCTGTCCACATGGGGAAAAAGTTAACCAGCATTAAAAACCTAAGCCTCTGACCCAATTTCTGTATTAAGCACTGCTGTGTGCAGGATAATGTACTGAACAGATGACCCTGTATGGCGAAGCAAAACCACACCAAGATTATTACACTTCAGATTCTTTTTTGAACTCCCAGTTACAAACTGTCTTAAGATAGAACTGAACTGTATCCTGAATGTCTGCTGCAAGCTGAGGGTTTTCTACTCAGTGAGCTGTAATTACTGTAATTTCTTTACTGGCATTCTACTTAAAAACTTTTTTTTAAGAGGCTCTTAATTATTAATCTTCTAGTGATTCAAATATTTTTTCATATGGAATTTTGTTAAAACAGATGTTCCCAAGTACAATGAACCCATTGCTGGCAATGGGCATTAATAATCAGCACCACAGAGTTCCTGTTCTTAGCACTTCATTGAACTCTACAAATACCATGGTGGCCATGTTTAACCTTTGTGATCAAGGTACTGAAACAGGGATTTTGCTCACTAACACTGTAACCTGCTTAATGTATAGCACTTTGTATTTAAACAAAACAAAACCAAAAAAAAAAAAGAAAACCACAAAAAAAACCCCAAAAAACAAACAAACCCCCCCCCCAAACAAAAACAACTAAAAAACCAAACCATAATACTTAATAAGTATTTTTTTTAAACTTAGAAATTATATTCCCTCTATGGTTTGTTTACACACTGTTAACACTGTCCTTTTTAATACTAAAAAATACTATAATGCTTGCCTGTTTACATGAGGGTAGAGGAAAGGGTTCTCGCACTTGGTGGCCCTATTTTTCCATTCTCCAAGGCCTTACCACATACATGGTGTCATTTCTGCAAGTACCATCATCACATTTGAAGGAAGGCATTAGTTTCATAGAATGGTTTGGGTTGGAAGGAGACTTTGAAGGTCACCTGCTTCCAACCCTCCTGCCATAGGCATGGACACCTTCAGCTAGGCCAGGTTGCTCAGAGCCCCATCCAACCTGGCCTTGAACATGTCCAGCGTGTTTATTCTCGTACTCATTTCAAGAATGATCTTGTATATTACATTGGTTCTCAGCCCCTTTCCAATTGTCACTTTAGTTTTGCATAAAAGGTTAAGGGTGCCTCTTCCCATTTAACCGTAAAAAAGGCTGGACAGAAACACCAGTCTGAAAACTGTGGTCAAAAAAAAACAAAAATGTTGAATGCAGACCATACTACAGAGCTGCCAGCAAAACTGTTTCTTTTACCAGCTTGGAATGACTTTTATATGGGATATTTCAAGGTTTAATGTTACTTCTATTTGCAGTTAGATTACTTTGAAATAAAGCTTTAAAATTAAATGTACTGCGAGAGACACTTTAAAGATTTTATAACAGGTTCAGTAGATCATATTATAGAACCATGTCCTTTTTTAATGACTTAGCATGAATAGTAACTTTTTAGTATTTGCCTCTTGCTGTTTTACCCCATATTATGGCATTGTCTTGAAAGTCCAGCAAATGTTGCTCCACTGATTTTTGTAGCACTTGGCTTTCTGCTGTTAATTTACATGAAACCAGTTGATTGCAGGAAAATAGTGATCTGACTGTCCTGAGATCAGGTTGAGAGGATTGATGATTCAAAGACAGCTTGAGACACATGTCTAAAATCCTTACTTTTGCATGTCACAGATGAAGCAGTTGTCTTGTGGTGTTTTTCTTGAACTCAGTTTATTGCCCTTTGTCCAACTTCTAATCACCAATTCAGGTACTGGGCGGGGGGAGCGGGGGGGAGGGGAGATAAAAAGTCACTTAAACCATCTTTCTCAGGCTCAGCTTAAGTCTAACACCTCTTCTCCCTGCCTTTGTATTCTCAGTTTCCCTTGCTTTCACCAAGAGTTGTATTCAGTTCCTGCCATTTCCTTTAGTAAGGTGGCAGGTCACAGAGGAGGTTGGGGTCATATGCACATTTCCTTGTCTGATGTTTTGCATTTCTTAGTGGGGGTCCTCTGGTGCTTTGGCCTGGTCAGTGTCACTATGCATGGTGACACTGGGCCACAGTCCCTTGAGGGATGTGTCTGTTCCAGCTTGGTTCTTCTGTGGAACTCAGTTATTTCAGAGGTGTACCTGCTCTGGCAGGGCTCAGCTGTAGGCCAAAGTCATCTTAGAAGTGAATCTCCTCAGGCAGGGAGCGTGCCCTTCTGTGAGTGTGTCTATACATGTTCTCAGTGACTTCTTCAGGTGTTTTCCCAAGAGCAGCTCTTCAGTTTCTCCACCTGTACGCAGGAGTATCTTCTCCATGTGTCTCCCTGCACCTCTTGCTAGCAGCTGCCACTCTTCCTTAAATATATTTAAGCAGAATCATTATGTGCACCTCTGGTTGAGATTTTGGCTTGCATCCATTTTTTGTGCACGATGAACTTTTTTTGACTAGTGCAGGGCAGCCTGCAAACGCTAGTCATGTGTCACCCCTGCAGTCCCTGCCGCTGGTGGCCAGTGCAGTTGAACATAGCAAGCCAAGATATACAAATACAGCTTCTGTCAAGCTTCTGATCTTTGCTAATGGAGTGGTCTTGTTCAAGGTATGGAAAACTATTTTTTATTTGTGGGGAGGAGAGAAGCAATCCATATATATATATATATATATATATATATATATATATATAAAATATGACTGCATATGTATATGATGAATTTCATTAATCTTCCTGTATGCTTCATTACCTTTGATGATGTGGCTGTTTTCTGTAGTAAAGTGAGTGTCTTCTGAAAACCAGAAATTTTGTATACCCAGGTGGCTTTCAGACTTTCCTGCTGCTTCAAAGCCATTGTCTTAGTAGTGGTAAGAAGACTTAATGATACTACAGCTAAGTTCCTTTTCATTCCATTTTGTAACTATGATGTTAATTACCATGGAATCTGTGTAACTGCCATTCTGAAAAATTCAACTGTTGGCAGGGTTAAAATCTGCTTAGGTGTATACCGGACCCTTTTGAGAGAGAAAGTTCCTATTTCACACACCAGTGTTGGTTTGCAGAGTGCTTTTTTGTTGTTTCATTTTTTAAACTTTCCTTGTTAGTTTTATGGGTGAGGAGATAGACCCTAGGAGATATTGTCGGTACAGTTTTTGGTCAGCTTTTTTCATCTGAGGTGTGTCTAAGCTTGAGAAACTGTCCTGTGTCATAAGCAAGGCAGATGATCAAAGGCTGATGTGTTGAGTTTTCCAGTATAATTGATCGTGAAAGAATGGAGGCATATCAGGGTTTGTAATCTCAATACTTTTGCCTGGGTGCCAGCAAGATGACTGTCTCTGAATTATGAGAGCGCACAGCAGTACATTGTGTGTTTTGCTATAACAGAATTAGGACCTTTCTCAAAGCAACAAAGGAAAGCTGGGTTTTTTTGTCTTTTAAATGCTTCATTGGGTAGCTTGGCTTATTTAGCTATTAGCTGTAAACTGTCAGTGGCCTAGGGGAAGATGCTGGAAAAGAAGATGGTGTATTTTTAATGTGTTTAAATTGCAAGTTCTGATTTTCGCTTGAAGCCTGTGTCTGTCGATTGCTGCTCCTTTTTTTTTTATTCATGGGATTCCATATTTCTTTCAGAAATGTAACTGTTTATGCAAGTCAAGTGAATCTTCCTTAATGAGCTATAAGTTTTTATTCTAAACAAGTCATTTATAATAGTAACTTTGCATATCTTGATATTTTGTGAGATGTTATGCCTGTATTGCAGAGGTTGGATAGTTTTGTCTATAAATATTGCTGTCCTAATTGTACAGCATGGTTTTAATTTAATTTTACTGTTCAATATTTTCTTCTTATAGAAGAGTCCCATGCCCCTTTTTTTCTATAACATGTTTTAATAAATGTTATCTGTCAACTTTGTAAATGTTTTCTTAAGCTTGAATGAAAGGAATGCATGTCTAGTACTAGTATTTAATATTTCACTTTGCCAAAATAAGTGCTCAAAAGTACAAATTCCAAAAGTTGTTGATATATAACTTTATTAAATATATTAAAAAGTGTATCTAGTAATGTGTCTTCTTGAAATAATAACATGTCAGCCTAGTCTAAGAAAACATTAAACTAAAACCCGATTTTTATGACACAGTAAGTTTGATGAATTTGTGGAATTAGACCCATTTGTTTGCTGCTTTAGGTAATTGGCTTCCATGCTAGTTCAAATTTGTGAAACGGGTTTTGCTGTAACTGTTTTTTTGCAGAATGGTGATCTCTGAAGTTACAATAGAGAATGTACATGCTGATAGGAAAATTCCAGAACACTCACATGTCCGAAAGGCCTCTTGGTACAGTTGAAGTAGGTACAGATAACATAGATTTTTTTTTTTTTTTGCCTAAGTATGAAGGAAATTTCATGCTGTGAAAAGTACTAAAGTTTCCCTTACCTTCCTGTGAGGTTTCTTTCTCTCCTTGACTAAATTTAGGTACTTATACTGAACACTTGATTTTGTCCAGCCTCCATCTGCTCAGTCCTTGCAGAACTGTCTCAGCCACTGCTTACTACGTAAGCAAAAAATGAGCTCACTCTCAGTAAAAGCATGTTCAGTCAATACCCAGAGAAGTCAATAGTTATGTAAGACATTCAGTCTTCAGCAAATTCAAATGGAATATAGTACAAGAAAATTAATTTTCTATTTTGATTACATTTACTGAACACGGAATAATGAGCCCAATGCTTTTTGCGTGTTCAGAATTAGTTGTTTGAGTGCTTTTTCTCTGAGTGAACAAATAGAGTTTGTGTTTGTGTTCTTTAACTCTTCTTATTTGTGTCCTGGCCAGGATGCTTCCCAGACCACTGCTTTATTTGATCAGCATTCAATGCCTAATGTATGAAGATTCTGTTCTGTGTCTTAAAGGGAAAGACATACCTCCAGAAGACAGAATGTGGTGTCTGGTTAGACCGGGTGGATATCGCAGCAGGACCTACTGGCACCAGTCACTGACTGTTTTCAAGTAGTACATGATAACCAGTACATGAACTGTCTGGTTCATAAACTGAATCGTTGCGCTACCTGACCTACAAGCAAATGCAGGATAACACAAAAAAAAGTTAGCACATGCTTGCTGAAGTGATTTCTGTGAGTGATAAGGCCAGTATAACACAGGTGAATGTCTTAATTCTTTGCTCAATAAAGGTGTCAGTTAGCTGGAGTGGGGGATGTCCTCCCCCAAAAGCTCCCTCGCTGTTTCTGCGACTGCCTATCGGGGTATGGCTCTGGGTTCTCTTCTGGAGCTGCACACGGTGAGAGTTCTCGGAAGAGCTCTGCCCACGTACGCCCCGGCTTCAGCCAACGCTCAAAGCCTTCTGCCTTCCTGAGGAGTCGCGCTGCGAGGGCAGCTCCGCCCTACTGCGGCCGGGGGGAGCGCCCGGGCTCCGCGCCGAGAGCGGGGCGGGTTCCCGAGCGGCCCGGGGGCACCGCCCGCTGCCGGGGCGTCGCCAGGAAGCGGAACGGCCGCCAGCGGAATCAGTTCCGGGTGCGAGTGGCTGTGGGAGCGGGCGGGAAGCGGCGCTGGGAGCGGGCCGGGCCGGCCGGGATCCGCCATGTGAGAGCCCCAGACAGCCCCAGGTGAGCGGCGCGCGAGGGGCGCTC